CTCCTAATGTTTGAGGTGCTTTTTTTCTCGAATCCAGTCTATTTTAGTATGTAAAACAGCTTTTAAAGGCAACATAACCAATGTTTTTACACATATTTAGTGGGTTAGCTAATCTTACTGAGTAATTTTTCCTTTTTTTTGTTTTGTTATCTCTAATCTTTCTCTATCTACAGATGGTCGATTGTATTATGTGGGACCAAAGAAAGAAGAAAAGCGAGAAGTAGTGATTGAGGCAGAGCGGAAGAGACAGATATTCCTAGAGTGTCACTTTAATGACATTGGACATCACCTGGGACAGAAGAAGACAGTTCACAGGATTCAGAGTAAATACTACTGGCTTGGCATTGTCAAGGATGTTGTGGATTGGGTATGCAGTGGATGTCATTAATCTGACCCTTTTAGGAATGGATATGTTCGGTACCGTCATGTTTTTATTCATACCTTCATCTACAAATCACTGTATCATCTATTTCAGATTAAAGTGTGCGAAACGTGTCAACACGCAGAGAGGAATAAAAACCTGGCTAGAACGGTACGACCCATCAAGGTGGATGGTCCATGGGACATTTTGGCGGTTGAAATAATTGGTAAAAGTTTGTAAGGGACTTTTAAGAAGTCTAATTTGTTAGCAGGACACATTTCTAAGGCGTAACCAAATGTCTTCACTTGTGTTATTCGAAAACAGGTCCATTCCCAGGCACTGCACATAGAGGGAATACACACGTTGTTGTTATTACAGATTACTACAGTAAATGGGTAGAGGCCTTTCCTGTACAAAAGAAAGATGGTCTTTGTGTTGCGCGATGCATTTCCTCATCTACTTGCAGGTGAGATAATATTGCCCCATTAATAAAGAATAAATATGCTTATTTGCTAAAATGTGCCCCCCCCCCAGATTTGGTCCTGCAAAGACAATATTTTGCTCTCAAAGTGCTGACTTCTGTGAGGAGGTAAAACTTTTTTTTTGTCAAAATACCAACCTTTTATGCAAAACAGGTGGGTGATTAATTGTATTTTAATAGCATTGTTATTGATTATTTTAGGTTACAAAGCACCTGTGTGACCGGTGGAACATAGCGCAAAGAGTGTTGTCAGTAGACCAGCCGCAGCGGAATGCACTGTATGATCGCAGCAGTAATCTGCTGAGAGATGCCATAAAACAGATGGTGGTGGAGAAACAGGTGGAGTGGGATGATTTTCTCGATCCAGTTTTGGCCACCTTTAGGACATCGGTCAACCCTACGACAAAATTTACACCACACTTTTTAATATTCAACAGAAAAGCCAGCCTATCTAGTGAGGTAAGATAATTAACTAATAGGATATGATAGTTTTGTGACATGAATTAATGATTTTATGTAATAAGTAGTGTGATTTAGTGGTCCAAAAAATGAATCACACATTTTTCTGTAGTTAATCATGATTAATTGTACCTAATGTTAGAATTTGTAATCATAAATATATTTTCACACTGTATCTTTAAATTAATGTGGAAACAAAACAAAGGAGAGCCAATAGGTGGAGTTTGATGTCCAGCTTAGACATAATGGTTGGAGGTAGACACTCCAACCCCACCCTAACCTTACTACCCTATTGCTAAACATAACTCCACACATTACATCATTTGGCTCTAAGGTGAGCACTACTTTAAATGAAGATGGTATATTTGAATGAAGGCAATACGTGAATGAAGGCAAGTATCATTAATACAAATACTGATACTGCGGTCTCTGGGAATAAAATTAGTAAATACAGCCATTCAACATTACAGTCAAATTTGTGCCATTATTTTTAACATTCAGTAGGCCTAAACTGTTACAGAACATGAAAAAATATTATAACTTTTAATTAAAATCAGCTTCACAATCCTCGCCTAAACCCATTATAATAAATGTCATATTTAGCTGTGCTGTAATTTAGTGTGTGTTATAGTAACATAGTAAAAGTTTCTGTCTCTGTCAATGTCAGCTCTTTGTGTTTGAGAACTGTCAATTCATTTTCCCCCCACTAAGTTTATTTTGCACAATCATTTTCACAATAAATAAGAAAAAGGTTAGATATAACATTTGGTATTCATATTTTTATGTGAGATATGTCGCATATCGTGCCCATCATCCTGACAAAGAGGAGCGAGTGGAGGTCATATACATGCAGACCACCGTCAGCCGAACCCACCCACAGCACACAGAAAGTAAAAAGAAGATACACTGACTGAATTGCTATTAAAAATCCATTTCTTTCTTTTTTTTCTTCTTTTTTTAAAAACACAGTTTGATCCTCTTGGTTGCTATCAGGACCAGGACGTCGCGGCCCTTAATGAAGAGGACACAAACGCTTTTCTTTCCTCCTTGCAGGAGCAACAGAATAACATCAAGAAAGAGGTTAGATATAACATTTGGTATTCATATTTTTATGTGAGATATGTCGCATATCGTGCCCATCATCCTGACAAAGAGGAGCGAGTGGAGGTCATATACATGCAGACCAAGGTCAGCCGAACCCACCCACAGCCAGTGTTGGGGAGTAACTAGTTACATTTTTACAACGGAATTACGTAATTTAATTACAAAATAAAAGTAATTGTAATCACTATTAAAAATCCATTTCTTTCTTTTTTTTCTTCTTTTTTTAAAAACACAGTTTGATCCTCTTGGTTGCTATCAGGACCAGGAGGACGAGGCCCTTAATGAAGAGGACACAAACGCTTTTCTTTCCTCCTTGCAGGAGCAACAGAATAACATCAAACAGATGGTAAAGTCTGAGCATTTGTTTGTTTAGTTAAAATCTTTTAGTTAAAAATTATTTACTAATTGATCAGTTAAATTATTGCGTCATGGTACATGTATAACAACTAGCATTTATTCAAAAAGCATGTCTGAAAACACTGCTTTTAGTGCAGACAAGCTTGTAATTTCACACCGTTTTTCTGATAATGTTCTTTTTGTCTATACAGGTAGTTACAAATATGAATGTTGCATACAGACAAGAAAAGAAAAATGCAAAACGCAAGGCTAGAAATATGCCTTCCATAACTCTCACTGTGACCGACCCATTGTTCAGCACAGAGGAAACACCCTCAGCAAAAAAGCTCAAGGAAAGCCTCTACCTGTCTTTTCCAGTAGAGACAGTCCTAACCACAGTCCAGAATGTACCTGAAGCCAAGAAAAATGGCTTGGAATATCCTCTAACAGATGTGCACTGAAAATCTTTTTTGATTTTACTATTCATAAAGCACTATCCGCAAAGTGTATTTGCATAGGCTACAGCTTGAAGACTTGACGTCTGCAGTAACTGGTCCACAGAGAGCAGGTCAAGCAGATGAACTCATGTTTACTTTCTGTTTCAGCGCATAATGTAGCAGATTAAAATATGGTATTTCACCTTAAGGCGTTCATTGACACAGACGATGGTCTTAGTTTTTTGTTTATTGAACTACACACCCAAAGATTTAGTTGTCTTGCTTGGTTGACTCATGTCTCAAAAGACATTTTTATCTGTATTTGCTTTAGATGAGTCATCTGACATACAGAGATTTCAGTGTTATCTGATAGAATGTTGTGTAAACTTAAATGATGAAGATTGTAATAATCAGTGTTCATTATCACAGAAAATAGTTGTTAGTTTTTTTTTCCTGTTTTTTTTTTTCTTCAGATCATTATTATATAACACCAAAGTGTTTCTTTTGTCTTCGACAGTGAGTCTGAATTTGCAAACAGCAATTTAGCTTCATCGTTTACTTAATCACGTATTCATCCATGTGTGTGGAAAGGAAATGTTAAGGTTCTATATGTCAATAAATAGTTATGAAGTTTCAGGCTTTATCTCATAAATACTTTTTGCTCCATTTTGTTTTAAATTATGATAAATGCTATCCAACAATTAACTGTTTTCATTTGTAATAAACAGATTTGTTAATCAGTTAAAATCAGTTATTCTGTGGCCAATATGACATCTCATGCAACTTCCTGTTTGCCTTTGAAATAATGAGGGCTGAAACAAAGGTGCAAGAACGTGACCACAGATTGCAGCATATTTCACAATGAGGCTGACCTTACCTTGTCACATGTGTCATGATTTGGACAGCCTGCCAAGTGGCAACATGTCTGAAATAAACCGTTTAGTGTTGAAATGCTGTGTTCTTGTTTAAAATCGTATTTAATAATTCATAAAATGTTTAAAAAAATTTTGTTAAATTTCTGCTATATATACAGTGTATATATATATATATATATATATATAACACCAACCTATTGAAGCTGTAAAAATGTTTTTAACTTTAAACTGCACTGGTACAATAGAAATTCAAAGCCTCAACTGTGCTTATTAATAACATAAGGACAGACAGTGTTTTTTTAGTTAATTTTTTATAAAAAAAATAATATAAACAAAATAAAATAAACAAATGTAGGAATCCTATGAATGCACCATTCCTGGATGTAACTGGATGGATGGATGTAATTTTCAGACTTTTAAATGCATGTTATTTACTGTACAATTAATGAAATTGTATTATAGTGCAAATTCATATGCAATTAGTTAAACTTGAATGGTTTTCTGATCCACTTAAGTATGGCTGGAGTACATCTTTATATATTATTTCATATTTACAAGTGTACTGCCAACTGTACTGATAATCATTTATAGTAAAGTAAAATATACATGTACTTAAAAAACTTTGCACGTTCTTTAGTATGTTAGTCAACGAATCAAAATAAGTGTACTTCTTAAATCATGACATAAAATGCACTTTTTTTAAAAGGCGTATTTAAGTGGCCTTTTATATGTTAGGTTTTAGGTTCGTACCTTATAAATCTGTTGCGAAAATACAAACAATTATATCCATTTCAAAATTTGCCTATATTATCGAAATACAAAGTCCTCGCCCTCTCCTTCAAATTATGTAAATACTTGTGTATTTCACAATGTGACCAGAGCCCTTTCTGATTGGGCCGCCGTCACGGAGGCGGGCCTTCAGTACTGTATTCTTTTCCCCCTTCCTGTCATTGCACCGCGCCGGTAAGAAGAGGCGATGGATGTTGCCTGGAAATTATGGGACTAAGATAAGTTTTGTTGTCGTACCGGGAATATTGATTTACAAAGGAAATAAGGAGCTGATTCTTAGACGTAAAATGCATTTTGTATTGCCCCAATGAACGAGTCTGCGATAGTGTCGGGTGTTAAGCTGCGCAGGCCAGCGAACCAACTTGACAGACGCAGTACATTCACATAGACTTTGTTTCAGGCAAGCACTTTTTATTAATACTCCAGAACTGTCAGTCTGGTTTCACGCTGCTGTGTCATTAATATGTTTACTCGCCCTATAGAAATCGCTTCCATGTAGAATTTTTGCTGCTCACGTTTTTGTATTTCAGTAGCTTCGAGGCTCTCCAGCAGGTGTAGGAAAATGAGGGTTGCTGTGATTATTAGTGGCAACCTGGTTTTCACTCTGGTGGATATTGTGGTCACCACAGTCTTGTATGTTCATGGATCAAGTCTTGATATATTTTCAGATGAATTAGAGGACTTTGACATACACCGCTCAACTTTGGACTTGTGGGGAACTGTTCTCATACGGGCCAGTCTTCTTTTCGGGGCCACCATCGGGGTGTGCTATAACAGGACTGATGGTCCACAGAGGGTTTCAAACCTGGGGACGCTGGTTTCTTTTATATGCCTTACCAACATGACTTATGCTCTTGCCAAGTTGTTGATGCTTTCCGAGGAGGGAGCTCTGATGTATGACCCCTGGTTCCTAAGTTTGTTCTCCTGGACTTGTGCATCAGCAATAGGCATCATGATCTCATGGAAGCTGCTGTCACAGACTCCCAATTCTGTGTCTGAAAGAGAGGACAGCGAGGAGACGGAGAGGCTGGTGGATGGTATCGAGACTGAAGATGAGTCCAGTAAGAAGAGCAGAAAATCAAGGAAAGAGCACCCCCATTCAGGGGCCACAATCAGCCGTCTCTTGTCGTACTGTAAGAAGGACTCTGGTTTGCTGGCCATTGCTCTCTTCTTTCTTCTCCTCTCTGCTGTGTGTAAGTTGACTCTCACAGTTATCACTTAAATATTCTAAGAAATGTAGTGAATCAAGTAAACATATCATAATTCAAGTGATATTTCATGAGTTAATCTTTTTTTCTATCATTTGTGTTGAGCAGTAAGTTTTGCTAATGTTGCCAGCAGTCACTCTTAATAAACAATCTCATGAAATATAGAGTAAATGTACAATAAGGTTGTATATGTTAGCATTATTTAACACAACAACCAACAATGCTTTTTATGGCCTAAGAATGAACTTTGATATGATACATGATGCAGTAAAGATTGTTACTGCATAATACCTTACTGTAAAGTGATATGAAATGTATTTTAAGTAAATCTGTAAATCGGTAGCTTTTGAGAGTTTGGACTAGAATGGAAAATTGAAATGGTTTAGAGAATTTGTTGTTAAGTAATCAAAACACACACTTGCTCTCTTTTTTTATAACGTATGCTCATCAAGGCTGGATTTATTTGATCAAAAATAAAGCAAAACAGTAATATAGTTAAATATTATTACAATTTAAAATAACAGTTTCTATTTTGAAATAATTTTAAATGTAATTTATTCCTGTGATGGCAAAGTTGAATTTTCAGCAGCCATTACTCCAGTGTTTAGTGTCACATGATCGTTCAGAAAGGTCTTTACTGCTGCTTTTGATCAGTTCAATGTATCCTTGCTTAAAAATGTATAAATTCTTTCAATCAATCAATCAATCACTCAATCAATCAATCAATCAATCAATCAATCAATCAATCAATCAATCACTCACTCACTCACTCAATCACTCAATCAATCAATCACTCACTCACTCACTCACTCACTCACTCACTCACCCACCCACCCACCCAATCACTCACTCACTCACTCACTCACTCAATCACTCACTCACTCACTCACTCACTCACTCACTCACTCAATCAATCAATCAATCAATATAAAAAAATCTTACTGACAGCAAACTTTTGAACAGTAGAGTATATAAAAGTTTTTATATACCTTATTATATACCTTACCTATACCTCTAATCTTTACTCTAGTCATTACATGCTTGTGAATGCCTTGGTTTGTCACACTTGGATGGTGTGCACTTGTTCTCATCTCTAGAGTTTATCAGCTCATAGTGTTAATATTGGATTTTCCTCCCCATAGGTGAAGCTTTCATACCTTATTACATGGGGCGAGCAATAGATGGCATAGTTATCCAGAAAAGCATGGATCATTTTGCCAAACCACTGATTACTCTCACTATTTTGGCTTTGGTCAGGTGAGCAGTTCTGGATTTCACTTTTCTTCAATTTTTATAGACAGTAGAGATTGATTTCTTTTTTTCCGTATCATATAACACCATTCATCATTCTTTTTTTTTAGCTCCATAGCCACTGGGTTTCGTGGAGGTGTCTTTTCTGTTACGTTTGCCAGGTTGAACATTCGACTTCGGAACCTTCTCTTTAGATCACTAATGCATCAGGAGATTGGGTTCTTCGATGCTAACCATACAGGTAATGTTATGGCTAGTTTATATTTTATTATATTTATCCTTATATATATATATATATATATATAATTAATTTTTTAAGCAATTTAAGATTTGAAAATTTCTCTTTGACTTACATTTATAGAATGGTCAGCATTCAAAATGTACCCAACAGCAAATACATCACCATAATATTTGCATACTGAATTGTGGTTGGTTTTCTTTCATACATCTCTTTGCATACTGAATTGTGATTGGCCTTGTCTTCTTTGCTGTTATTTATTGTGTTGATTCCTGTGTGCAGCCAATAGAAAAAAAAAGATGTCATGATGCAGCATTTTATTTCGAGAGAAACCAAAGCCTAAGATCTTATACTTTAATACTACTATTTTGGCGGCCTTCGGGAAATGCAAATCAAGTGTTGTTTTTAACATTACTGTGTCAAAGACCTCTCTGGACTGGTGGAAGTAGAGACAACATAAATGATTCAGCTCTCAATGGGTTGCCTTACAGGTGACATTACCTCTAGACTTACCTCAGACACTACTCAGGTGAGCGACCTCATCTCACAAAATGTCAACCTGTTCCTGCGCAGCTTTGTGAAAGCTGTGGGCATCTTCATATTCATGTTTGGGATGTCATGGAAACTGTCGGTAGTCACCATCATGGGTTTCCCATATATAGCTGTGGTCTCCAAGCTGTATGGAGAGTATTACAAGGCAAGTTATGCATATGAAAATACATTGCTTGAAATAAAAAACCAATGGCAAATTATGCATTGTAGTTTATAGCAGCATATACTCTATATTGTTTTATATTTCACAAATGCACATTATAATAGCATTTTGAATGCATTGATACAAAATATGTACGCATAAAAAAAATTTACATTCCACATTTTTGATGTTTAACAGAAATTAACCAAAGATGTTCAGACAGCACTGGCTCAGGCCAATAAAGTGGCAGAGGAAACAATATCAGCCATGAGAACAGTGCGAAGTTTTGCAAATGAAGATCAGGAGGCAGACTCGTACTACAGCAGACTGCAGGAGATGTTCGTTCTTAATAAGAAACAAGCAGTTGCCTATGCCTGCTTCATGTGGTCCAGCTATGTAGGTATCTTGCAAGCATATTGAAGCCTTCGATATTTGTTCTAACAAGATTCTCATTTATAAAATCGAATTTTTCTTTCCAATATCATAATTAAATTTCTCTTTTGGGTCATTTGAAGTATCTTGTAGATCCAAAAAATAAAAATCAGCAGTGTCAGTCTGAACAACGATACTAATTTTTGTTCTCTCTTCTTTTCATTTTCATCTTTAGATCTCTGAGCTAGCCTTGCAAGTAGCAATCCTGTATTATGGAGGTCACCTGGTGGTGACAAATCAGATGAGTGGAGGGACCCTTATTTCCTTTATCATTTATGAGCTGGAGCTCGGTGAGGCCCTGGAGGTATGGTGTTTTTCTTTTAATATGTGTGTGCGTGAGACTCATACGATGAATCTGAAACACAAAGTCTTACTTTCTGTTCTTTTTATAGAGTATATCGTCAGTGTACACAGGTCTGATGCAAGGCGTTGGCGCTGCAGAGAAAGTGTTCGAATATATTGACAGGAAACCTAAACATATCCTTGATGGTCAACAAGCTCCAGAGACATTTGAAGGGCAGGTGGAATTCAAAAATGTGACGTTTGCGTATCCAACACGGCCAGAGATGGATATATTAAAGGTATTCTTCACTGAAAGTAGACTTTAGATAGAAGGTTACAAACTAACAGCAAAGTGTAACACCATAACCTAACCAGACATAATGCAGATTTTTTTTTGTTGGTTTCTGACCATATAACATATGTTCTTCTGATTCATTGGCTGTGATTGTGTCACATTGCACCACATTGTCACATTCAGTGTGAACAGATAAATCCCACATATTTATGTGTAAGGACTGATTGATGTTAATGATTTAGGCTAAAAACACAAGGGCTAACTACAGAATTATTGAGATACTTTATTACAGTTGTGCCCCTGTGCGTAAAGCTTAAACTAGGTTGCTATGGTTGACATTAGTAGGGAGTATTGATGGTTGTCCTTGCAATTAGTGTATTGCAAGTACCTATAAATGTTACGTTTATTTGTTTTCTTTTAAACTGATATGCTCGTGAATCAGTAACAGAATTCCTAGACACAGGAAGAAAGCTAAACCCACATTTTCTTCTCAGAATGTTTCCTTCAATCTTCGCCCAGGGCAAGTAACTGCACTGGTAGGGCCCTCTGGTGGTGGAAAAAGCTCATGTGTGTGTTTGCTGGAGAATTTCTATGCTCCTCAGCAAGGCCATGTGCTAGTGGACGGCCGACCTGTGAACAGCTACCAGCACAAATACTATCACTCTAAGGTGGGATATATGCTGAGGCTGATCTGGATACATTATTTAAGAATAAATGTAGTTTTCAGTGAAGCTTGTAGTACATTCTACGGTCTTAAGAGGGCAGTAGTTACTGATAATGCAAATGAAGTGGCTTAACCAAATGCAAATTAAAGATTTTTTTTTTTAATGTTTTTTTTTTACAGGTAGCACTGGTGAGTCAGGAGCCTGTTCTATTTGCCCGCACTGTTCAGATGAATATATCCTATGGTGTACCTGAAGCCCCCATGGAGGCAGTCATTAGAGCTGCCATTAATGCCAATGCACATGACTTCATAACAGGCCTCTCCAAAGGCTATGAAACTGGTTAGTTATTATATTATATTATATTATACTATATTATATTTTTTGTTTATTGTTGTAAATTATACTATTTTTTTATTTTTATATTTATTAATCTCATATTACTAATAATATATTATTAATATTATGAATATGTATACTAAAATGCACTTACATTTTTTCATGTTCAGAAACTTACATTTTTGATGTGAATGCTTTGTGCATTGCGATAATGACAATAGATATTCAAATACATAATTGCTTGATTTGATGTTTTTGACTTATTTGACATCTGTTTTGTACCCGAGTTTTAGTATTATATTATATTATATTATATTATATTTGACACCTCTGTTTTGTACCAGAGTTCGGGTGATAATTCATCCTGCTGCACTGTCCTCTGTTATAGGGGTTGGAGAGAAGGGTGCTCAGCTGTCTGGTGGGCAAAAACAGAGAGTTGCCATTGCTCGGGCTCTTATCAGAAACCCTCGCATTCTCATTTTGGATGAAGCCACAAGTGCACTGGATTCAGAAAGCGAATACATAGTAAGCGATGACTATTACTTTGAAAGGATGTGGCTTAAGTGAACATTCCTTTTCAGTCTTGCATTAGACTTCATTTGTGTCGTTACTTTGTTTTTAGGTTCAGCAAGCTCTGAACAACTTGATGCGAGAACACACGGTTTTAGTGATTGCCCACAGACTGAGCACAGTGGAGAGAGCTGATAACATCCTAGTGATCGACAAAGGCTGTGTGGCAGAGCAGGGCCCACATGCTGAACTCATGGCCAGGGGAGGCCTCTACTGTAAGCTGGTGCAGAGGCAGATCCTGGGGACTGACATAGATGCAGATGTTCACAACCCATCGCCAGCCCCACCATGGAAGCTGAAGGAAGGAGATAAGGAGAGTGCAGAGGACTGTAGCGACACTGAAAATGAAGCACGCTACTAAGACAAAGTTGAAATGTGCTTCACTTGATTGTATGAAGGCCTTAATCCTAGATAGATATTTATTTTATTTTATTTATTCTAATCTGGGGATATATCACATATTTTGCATGTCAAACAGTGTGTTACTAGACAGGAGTTCTGCACTGAATAAAGCTTTAAGCAATAAATATTTGACATACTTGATGTACTGTACTATTGTTTCCAATATAAACATCTTAAATAGTACAAACATATCATTAAACTTAATTATGTAAATAAAATGAATTAATGGACAAATAATTGTTTCATTCTTTAAATGTCCCATATACAGTGGGTACGGAAAGTATTCAGACCCCCTTAAATTTTTCACTCTTTGTTATAATACAGTTAATAGTGTGTAGTTTATAGTATTAATTAATAAACAATCGATTTTTGTTATGTGCTTTTGTCATTGTTTATTATTCTGTTTTTCTATTCTATTTTCTATTAAATTTTTAATTAAATTTTAATTTTTTTTATTTTTAGTACTTCGGCATATTTTATTTTTAGTTTTCTAATTGTAATTTTTGTTTAATTTTTATTTCATTTGTATTATTTTATTTCAGATTTATTTTAATTAAAACAACTTTTAATAGTTTTAATTTAGTAAACAATAACAACACTGAAGCTTGCAATTTTTTTTGCAATTAAAAGATTTTGTAAAAAAAAATAAGTATGTTATCACTTTTATGCAGTGTGATGCAGAAGTGTATGATTTACATATTTTGAAAGACATGTAAGAAATGTAATTATCATTTTGGAGAAAGTTCGTGAGCATCAAATGAAAAAGCCCTTGCAGTGATGTGCCGGTTGACGTCACGCATCTCCTCCTGTCGTCTTCCGGCTGAAAAGAACAGCTTTGCCCAGTCCGACCGCGATCCACAGACAGCAAAGTGTGAAAGACACCGCTGTGCCAGACATGGCTGGCTTTGAGAATAAGTTGAGCTCTTATACCTTAACTCAGTTAAACGAACTGCTCGAGGATGACGAAACACTCAACAAATTTATCGACGACTCGGAAGAGGTAAGTTTCTTTTTCTCGTGAAGAGCGTCGCGAAGTTACCGTGGCGAGTTGATGAGTAAGTTATTTGAAACCGCACCATTTTATAAAGAGGTAGGCCGTGTTTATTTTTATTCTTTAAAATGGTTTGTTTTAGAATTACGAGGTCATTGCATTTTATTGGGAACTGTTTAAATTTAAACGTTTCTGCGCGCGACTTCAGTTTTGTTTGTTTTTGACGTCGCGGAATATGACTAAGTGTAATGATGTCATTCATTAAACAACATATTTTCAGTTAAGACAAAAAAAGTGACCTTATCACGGAAGCAGAAACTGGTCAACCCACCGTATAAAATAATGCCCATGATTTAGGAATATGCATTTCCCCTATAGAATCTGTTTTGTTTGTTTTTCACCCATCAGTGATGCAAGTCATTTTCTCGTGATCCTCTATTGTAGAAATTACTCACGTTGGACTTGTGTATTTTCTATTTTTATTAGTAATGTATTTTTTGTAGAGCTTCACTTTTTGTTACTTTTATGAAAACATCTTCTGTTATGTGTTGGATGAAACCTTGGGAATCAGAGCATGAGCCATTTTATGCCAAGCACTAGTAATGCTTACAGGAAACATTTATTGATTGTTTGCATTATACATTTTTAATTTAAAAAACTTATTGCATTTTTTTTTTTTTTTACAATAACACAATAGTATTTCAGTATCTTAGTGTATAATTTTTTTATTAAAACAGGACTTTGACAGGTGATTTTAAGTATTTCATATGAATTATAATTGCTGATGCATAACCATAAATGTATTCACATCTCATGATGAGACCGCAAACTGAGCTTTGCCAATGCACACAATATCAGTACCGCTCAGTTGTTTGCATATCGTCAAATAGATAGTATTCTGGGCATGTTCACAGTTCTGAGTTGATTTGACCTCCAAATTCATGGAAAGATGTCAACCTTGTATCAGTATGTGTCATGAGAGCATGTTTAATCTGGCAGCACTCTAAAAGTTGATTTTTATTTACCAGGGCAAAGAAGTTATTCATAAGGATTTTTTTTTTTTTTAACTGCTTATCTGTTGCCATTTAAATAATCATCTTTCTCAAACATATGCATTCTTAAAATTTGGCTTTCACTGAAATTGGTGACTGAAAGAAATGGGTTTTTGCAGGCATGGTGCTCCAGAAGCCATATATAGTAATATATCATATGTAGACTGTAATTATCTGCCACATAAAAACAATAGTTGCGGACTCGTACACTGGTCTACATGTGTTTTAGAAGGCTCATAAGGATTTGTTTTTTTTATAACTGCTTATCTGTTGCCATTTAAATAATCATCTTTCTCAAACATATGCATTCTTAAAACTTGGCTTTCACTGAAATTGGTGACTGAAAGAAATGGGTTTTTGCAGGCATGGTGCTCCAGAAGCCATATATAGTAATATATCATATGTAGACTGTAATTATCTGCCACATAAAAACAATAGTTGCGGACTCGTACACTGGTCTACATGTGTTTTAGAAGGCGATGTGCATGTTGTATGATGAACAGACCTATCCTTAGTCAAATTTGGAGAGAACTAGCCTTATATAATCAGTGATGAGCAATGATTTGTATTTCTCAAGCAAGGGTTGGTGCATTACCAGGAGAATTGGTTTCATTATTGTCTGTCAACGTCTAGTTGATGTATGACTCGTGCTTTCAGCTCTCTTTGTGTTAGTCACTGACTTGTATATTTTTTTAGTGCTCGTTTAGGTATTAATTTAATTTTTGACCCAATGTAATATATAGGACATCCCGGCACAGACCATGTAAAGAGCAAATGCTTTCTGACCTGCCAGCTGATCTAGACAGGTGTTTGAGAAACATGTGAAATCTCTCACCTCTCCCTGTTATGCACTGATACATGATCTCTAAACTGAAACTGCGGAAGTGCACCTGTTAAAAAAAAAAGGGAGGAGTCCGGACAGTTAAATACTGTTAAATGTTCCTCATCATGGCAGTCATAGGGTTGTGAGTCACTAGAGGTGGCATGTTGCAATGTATTGTTTTTTGTGAGTTTCTTGGAAATGGGATGTGCTTTCTGAAGACAATTTTTGTGATGTGTTTCTCTGTGTTGTGTACAGCTGGATAGGCCTGTCACGATAACAACTTTTTGTTGTGTGATATATTGCCCCAGAAATAATTGCGATAAGCGACATTATTGTAATTTTAAAGACCATTTTATGCCACTGAATATATAATCATAATGTAACAGTATAATAATGCAAGAAAGCCAACACACTTCCAAATTTCCAACAAACATTTCATTTTTAAGAATATTTAGATCATGGAAATTAAATATTAAAATATTAGATACCTTAAAAAACTTGAATAAATAGTAAATAAACATTTTCTAACAAAAAGTGCAAAGTAACAAGTACAAATAAAGAAAAATGCACAAAGAACTTGTATGGAGATTTTTCCATCTACAGATTTTCCCCTGACCTTCTTTTCTCTGTAAATTAAGGGTGCACACTATTGCTGAAAAACACAATCACTACTCAGCAGTCAGATGTCCGTATGCACAAAGACACAGATCCCTAAACAAGACCATATCTGCAGATGAAACTTTTTTTGTAGAAGCATTTAGCTGCAAAAGACACAGGCGCAAGTGGAATGTAAAAAACACGGTGACATTAATTTTTAAGTAAATATAATGGGCGATATATTGCGTCACCAAAAATTATTAAGGTCATGTACATACAGTATATTGCGCGATAAGTCGATATATTGATTGTTGCGACAGGCCTACAGCTGGAACCCTTTACCATTGTTTATTAATAATTCCTTTTTTGGGGCTGTAATGTTGTGCCTCTGTTGCAGCAGTTAAGTACATTGTGATCATCCAGTACAATGAGAGGCTTAAGGTGGGGTGACCTATATATCAAAGGCTAGCTGATTCAAATAAATTTGTGCAGAACTAATTTTAAGCCTCTTAACTGATTCTCAGTGATGAATCTCTTCTTTATGTGTAACGGAGGCCAGCGGGTAGGTGCTGTGCAGGTAAAACCTCACTCCCCTGATCTCAAGAGGGCTGCAGTCTTTAGCCTCCTTGTTAGCGCCTTGTTGAGTCAAATATCTAATTCCTGCAATTTGTCTAGAACTGTGGTTCTCAAATTTTTTGACTTGAAGAATCCCCACCAAATAGGCGACTATGACTGAGCCTACCTAAAAGATCGCCATGCCTCTAACTTAACACCTTTGGGATGAATTGAACTGTGAACCAGATCATCCCATCGCCCACCATCGGTGCCTGCCTTCACTTCTCTCTTGTGTCTGAGTGGGAGAAAATCCCTCCAACTTTGTTTTAACAACTACCAGCGAGTGGGAGTTTTTACAGCAGCAAAGGGAGGACCGACTCCCTATTAATGCTTGTAGTTTTAAATTTAAATGATTACATATGAGTGTGGTGTTTACGTTTCTGCCTCTTTTTGGTATTGTGGTGTTTTTGGAATGCATGCTTTTAACTTTTGTAATTATATGAGGTACAAGACCAGAAATTGCTGATGATCATTTACAAAACCTTGTTGCTTTGACATTTGAAAAGCTTAGATATGGGCCCCACAAACATGTATGCTGCCCTTTAGTAATTATGTAATTATGAAAGTAATGTGTAGGGGTGCTCCGATCAGGATTTTTGAGACCGATCGCCGATCACAGAAAGCAGTATCTGCCGATACTAGGGGTGTAACGGTACACGTATTCGTACCAAACCGTTTCGGTACGGGTCTTTCGGTTCGGTACACATGTGAAC